AATAGAGTTGAGATCTGTTATTTCTCACTTCTCTATATATATTTATCTATTTATTTAAAACCATGTTTGCTGTTAACAAGCATGTTACCTCTGGAGACAGAAATCCACAGTTTGAGAACTGCAAAACTAAGCAAGTCTGATGGTATCTTCTAGACTGAGCACTGAGTTCCATTGGGTAGATAGAAAGATTAACCTAAATCGATACGAAGTCTATGGAACCCCATAAGATTGGGTCCCTAATCCATGAACTATTAGAACTCATTTACAAAACTTTTCTTAAACATTACATGAATATATTGTCTCATACTATAGAATTAGAATTTATAATCCCTGTTCCATGATGAGATACCTTTGAGCTATAATATATCTTAATTAAACTACCTTTAGATAGGTTTTTTCCTTAAAAAGTTTTTATCAAAAAATCCCATTTTAAAAACGATTTTAATGTTTAAAAAAAAATGATTTTTATCCACTCTGTGGTCCTGTAATTGAAGACTGTATCATCACGTGTATGCACAAGGGTCGAATTAAGGTTGCATAGATAAGGAGCAACCTTAGTTCTGGCACTTTCTAGTTTTTTTGTGATTGACTTTAGAATCTTAATGTTCTTTTAACATAGTTGTTTGCTGTTGTTTGTAATTTTATTAATAGGATAGTGAAACACTGTTACTGTGCCCAGGGTCTAAGCCCTAGTTTAATGATGATGGTAATTCTGAAACTGTTGCTCCAGCAGTGGCACTGAACTTGCATTTGAGGCATGACCAGAATGTGCAACACCTTCTGTTTACTGGTGGTGGTGCTTATGAATGTTTTCCCCATGGAACATACACTGTGTTTCCATTCATAGACAGTGGAAGGATCTCTGTGACTTGAGGTGGAGATTGCAAATGAACAGCTACATCATTCCACTCAGACTTAAAATAAAAATCATCAATCTGGCACTTACTTGGGCATTCTCTGATGGCTTGAGATTCAGTAGTTGGGAGGTAGTACAGCTAGGAGGGGGACTGTTTATAGAAAAGTAACTCCTAGGATAAGACTCCAGGCTTTTGAGTTATTTTTGTTCTAAAATACTTGGTGATCCGCTGCTTTACCCTTCAGCTGTCTAAGGCCCTGATCCTGAAAACGCTTTAGCATGTGTGTTAACTCATGCAAGTAGTTCCTTTGACTTCTATGGAACAGCTCACGTGAATAAGGTTAAGCATGTGCTTAAATGTTTACAGGATCAGGGCCTAAATAGCTTCCATTATCCAGCTATTCATTGCCTCCTTGTCTGTAGTCTTGCTTTAGAGGGAGATGAGGTGGGTGAGGTAATATCTCTTATTGGACCAGATTCTGTTCACATCCTATGGATGGGTTTTTGATTTATAGGCGTTAGATTGGAAAAAAAAAAGACCTATTTGATCGTCCGTTCCAGTTCCCGGTCAATACAGGATCACTTTAGCCTGTCTAGTTTTAAATCTCCCATAAGTGATGGGGCTTCAGCTACTTCCCTTGGGAGGCTGTTCTAAAGCCTGGTCTACACTGCAAAGTTAGGTTGACATAAGTTACCTTGTGTCACATTATTTGTGCATGTGTCTACACTCCAATTTGTCTCCAGCCAATGTAATACAAGAACTAGGGCTCACCAAATGAAATTAATAGGCAGCAGGTTTAAAACAAACAAAAGGAAGTATTTCTTGACACAATGCACAGTCAACCTGTGGAACTCCTTGCCAGAGGATGTTGTGAAGGCCAAGACCATAACTGGGTTCAAAAAAGAACCAGATAAATTCATGGAGGATCGGTCCATCAATGGCTTTTAGCCAGGATGGGCAGGAATGGTGTCCCTAGCTTCTGTTTGCTAGAAGCTGGGAATGAGTGACAGGGGATGGATCACTTGATGATTACCTGCTCTGTTCATTCCCTCTGAGGCACCTGGCACTGGCCACTGTCAGAAGACAGGATATTGGACTAGATGGACCTTTGGTATGACCCAGTAGGGCCATTCTTATGATGTAAATGCCTTGTTATGTCAACACAGTCAAAGCACCTCCCCAAATGGTGTGGAACCATGGTTGTCCTACTGAGGTCAATGCAGTGCGAGTGTAGACACTGCATGACCTGTGTCAACTCTAACAGACTTTCAGCATCTGTCCCACAATGTCCCATTCTCTGCAACAGTGACCACTCTGGTTACAATTTTAAACTCCACTGCCTAGGGGTCACAGATACCAGAAGCCACCCCCACCTTTCAACATCCTCCCTCCCCCTCACATGTTGAGATGCCTTTTCCTGAGTGCAGATGTTGGTAAACGCATCTAGCAGCTCTCCCTTCTTGTGTGCAACTGCCCAGCCAACTGTGCTGGCCCCACACAGACAGAGAGGTATTAGATGTGCTCCAGGCTGGAGTAGACAGGTGCTTTGGATCTCCTGGGCCTGTGGGGAGAAGAGATTGTGCCGCATGAAAGTGAAGGAACTTCACAGGATGCCACAAGGTCAGAGAGCGCCACAATAGATCTGGTGCTGCGCCTCAGACCTGCTGCTTTTACAAGTTACTGCATGGCATACTTGGCGGAGACCCCACCAGCACCCTGCAGACCACTGTGGATACCTCCGAGGAACCCAAGACCGAGACATGTACAGCGAGGAGGAAGGAGTGTGGGGGAGACACAGCAGGGGATTCCAGTCATGCAGCAAGCCAGGACCTGTGTGAGACTCTGACCCAGTTTAGCCAGTGCCACCAGGTGAGCGTTGATGAGCCTGCTGAAGGGGAAGGGAACTCGGTTAAGTGTGTACATGCATTTTTCTGTACGTTCTTTAAATTTAAAGATAGAACCTGGCCCAACCCCAAGTTAACAAGAGACAGGTATGGACTTTTCATTTCTTCATACAAGAGGAAGTAGCGGTACAAAAAACATAGGTAGAGTTATCTACTTGTCCCCAGCCTAACCCTACAGGGTAATGACATGTGCAGCATCTTGGTGTTGTGCGTAGGGATGTCCCTTTTATCCTCCTGAGAGATCTTGATGAAACTTTCATGGAGGTACTCTGCAGTCCTTTCCCAATGATTGCTAGGGATGGCAGCCTTATTTTTTCCTCCATGGCAGGACATTTCCCCATGCCATTCCGTGATGACTTTAGCTGGCACCATTGCAGTAAACAGGCTAGCAACATATGGGTCTGGGTTGCTTCAGGAAGCCAGTAGTAGCTGTGCTCTCTGTGCCTTTGATACCTTCCAGAGTGAGACATCAGCTTAAAGCACCACTGCCTGTGGAAAATAGTGCCAGTGCTCAGTGCTCTATACTACTTATGGAATAGGGACCAAAATTATATAGCTTCATACGACGGAACATCCCCCACCCCTGGCACGCTGTACTCACCATGTCTGGGATTGGAGAGTGGTGCTGTGCAGAGTTGCTCCAAAGCAGAAGGGCCAATAAGCATGTCTTTTTAAAAAATGTTTATGGGAATAAGGAAAGGGAGTTTTGAAACTTATCTTTCCCTTTCCCTTGTGTCTGTAAATCCAATGGTACATCTGTCTGTTTTTATCAGCACCTTCTAGGGTGGCCGCTTTGGGGAGTTCCCCCTCCATACCTGCAGAACGCCTGATCCTGAGGAGGAGGAGAAAGAAGAGGACTGAGGAAGACGTATTCTACAAGATCCTGTCAGCCAGTGCTGCATCGGACCATGAACAAAGGGCTCGGAGAGCCTGTACGACCAACAGCATGGAGAAAGACCGAGAGGACAGGGAAAAAGGCCCAGGAGTCCAAGCAGGATAAGGAGTGGGAAATGCGTTAGGACATAATTGGTCTTCTCAGACAGCAGATTCAAATGCTGCTGGTTGTCCTGCAGGTCCCAAAATCTTGGATTCTCCATCCTTTGCACTATTTGGAGAACTTCATGGTCACTGTTCCAACACCCCACAACATACCTCATGGGGCGGATCGTTGCCTCTATCATTCCACGCGGGGAAGGAGGGAGGGTGGGGTAGCAAAGAAAATCATAGCTTCACATACACTGACCTATGAGGACCACGACTGGTATGTGTGTTTCCACAATGGACTACATTTGTGCATTCAAACAGACATAAAATTAGAAAGGAAGTAAACATTTGTTTTCACCTCGTTATGTTACACGTTTGTATTGCATTGCTTGTGGGGGTTTTTGTACATTGACTTTTTTGTACGGTTTTTCCCACTTAATAAATGTTTTTGGAGAATCAAATGATCTTTATTAGTTCACAACAAATATTGCAGAATGCATAGCGGTATTCAAAGCAAACAGTCCTTGTAAATGTACAGCAAGCACCATAGTATTCAAGTATTCATAGCTCCAGGAAAACACCCAGTCATATTTATGAATATATAGCAAGCACTACACAATTCTGAGCAGCACCTGAAGTTCCAGGCCCAGAGAACACTACATCACAGAACACTACTGTGGCTGACTGCTAAAGGGCTCTTTCAAAGCCTCCTTCACTCCATAGCGCCATGTTGAGCTCTTGTAATAGCCCTTGAATCTGGCTGTTCAAACTCAGCAGTCAGCTGCTTCATGTCCGTCCTCCACCCTAGCAGCAGCTTATTCCCCTTTGTCTCACATGCTGGAAACTTGACTCCCTAGCTCCCAGAGATCCCTGAGTGAGTCATTTCTATCCCACAACATATTGTGAAAATTTCCCAAAAGGCATTGCACTGGATGGCAGTGTGTGTCACACTGAAATACCTACCCATAGTGCACCACACTTTACATCAACACACTCACTTCTGGTGAGTACGCGCAGCAGCAACACAAGCAGCAAAGTGTGCACCTGTGCCAGCGATATACAAACTTCAGTGGCTGTACATCAAGGTAACTTTCATCAACCACAGTTTGTAGTGTAGACATGGCCTTGTTCTGAAGTGCTGCCAGGATGTTTTTCCTCAAGTTCATTTTAGGTTTTCCTTATTTGCACCCTTTTATCCTAACTGCACCTCACTAAATACGTCCCCCACCTTTGGAGTTTGCACTTTTATCACATTTCCCTATCCCTAAGTGGTACTCTTGAACTATGTGTGTTCCTCTCAATCTTTCCCTCTAGCATTCTGAGAGTTCTTGTTGCTCCTCTGAGCTCCTTCCACTTTGTCTTTGTTACTCTGTTGCACTTCAGCTCATCTACAACATGGAGTTGTTCCTGATTAACTTTGAAAGTGGGTTAAACGAAATGGGAATGAAGCACTCTTAATTCCATTTGTGGGCACTCTTTTTCTGGAGTGATTTAGGAAGAGCTATTGCACTGTAAATTCACACCCTACCTTCATCCACCTTAACTTTAAAGGTGGCTAGGCTCTTTTTTTCTTTCTAGTAATATTGTGCCCAGCCCTGAACATGCTCCAGGTGCTGTCATACCAGAGCCATGTTAACTGTTACCTTTTTGGTGTCTGACATGCTGTTTGTGTAGACAGCCTAAAATCGCATTGGCTCCTTTTGCTGTCATGTTGCATTGCAAATACACATTTAATTAGCTGTTATTATCCCACCCACTGTCTAGTGTGGAAGGTTGGTTTTTTAAATAGTGACATGCATGGGTCCCAAAGTAACTGCTTGCACCCCCAATAATGGGATCCTAGAACTGGTCCAGTTCCTGGGTTTCTTTCTCTAGTGCTTCCATCGCCATAGTCTCTCAGCAGCTCTGTTTCCAGGTTACTTCTGCCTATTGAGTGTACTTATTTAACTCATTCCCTTTCTTCTCCTCCTCCAGCGTACTAGATTTCATTTGATGCTGTCTCTCTTCCCTTCCCCTACCCCCAACTCCCTTTTCCTTCTTATTTCCTTCAATTCTGGCTAAAATCTTCTCTCAAGCTACACTTTAGGAATTTTTTATTTAGGCAATATGGTCCCTCATTTCCTGATAGCTGCAGTAGAGAATTTTAAAACACAAACTATAGTTAAAAAGAAATTGGTACTGCTCTTGATTGGAGAGAGTTTGCTTGTTGAGGAACTCTAGAGCCAAATGCCAACGGGGAGAAGACAGCAGTAACTTGAGAAGTCTGCAAAGGTTAAGAATCCATCAGATATCCACACCAAATGCATTTTAGTTATCACAGATGTCAAGCAAGGGTGTTGACACTGTTTTTGTGAAGTCCTCAGGGGCAATTGCCCTGTTTTGCAGCGCAGGGACAACCTTGGCACATGCCAACCTGCACCAGACCCTTGTTCCACCTCCTGCAAAACCACCTGCTGAGGTGCTGGCTGCACTTCCCCACATCTTTTCTTCTATGGATTCCTTGTCCGTAGCCACACAAAGTCATGGGACCCCCTCATTCACCTTCTCCTGGCATTGGCTTGGATGGCCATCCATCTGGCCGGGAGGTGGATGCTCAGTGGGGAGGTTTTCTGTTGCTGTGGGGCCTACTGTTCCCTAATTGTCTCTCACATCTGGGTAGAATTCCTCTTGGTGGTTTCCACTGACTCCTTTGCGGAGCAGTTGGTGGTGTTCAGGGTTCGCTACTTGGTGCCCCGCATCCAGTATCCTTGTTTTTTATTTCATCCCCCAGTTTTCCTGTTTTACCATTTGTTTTTCCACTGAATCTATTTTCTGGGGTCTGTGGCCCCTCCCTCAGTTGAGGGTGTGAATGTTTTGTCCTGTGTTGACTTGGGCCCACCCTTCCAGAATTAAAGTAGGCCATTGCCTTTCAGCTGCATTAAATTCACTCAATTTAAAAGGTCTGTTTCAATTGGACAAGTATGCTGCTGCTTTGTCCATTTTGTGTTTTGACTTCTGACCTACCACCTGATGCTACATAAAGATGATTGTGTGTGTGTGTGTGTGTGCACGCGGAAATGTGGAAAGGTCATGTTTGAAGGTGAATGACCTGAAAACAATACCCGCATGTAAGAAATCTGGTTGAAACAAGGAAATGGGTGTATGTGGGAACAGGAAAGCATCTGTCTAGTGGTTAAAGTGTACTGTTAATTCAAAAGTAAAATGTTGTAAACAAATATCTGTATCTTGGTGCTAACAGCTTAGATTATTAAAAGTGAAAATTATAAAAGTCCAATTCATTGGTCAGTTTGTTACTCTCTTCTCTCTGTTTAGAGAATGAAAATAAAGTAGGTATCATTTTTGTGTATGCAGTCTGTTTCTCTTTCAGGTTCCCAGCACTGCAGGGTTTCAGACACTGTGAGGAGGCAAAGTGAAAGGGTTGATAGTTTTAAAAATACTTTTAATTGATTTCCCCCCCTCAAAATTACAAAATGTAAAGTGCAGTGTCCCTTTAAAAGCACAGAAGTAGGATTGTAGAACAATCTGGATTTTGTTCCTGGCTCTGTCAATGACTTCCTGTGTAATCAGTCTTTGCCAAGTCACTTAAGGTCAGATTCTAGTACCTGTACTGATCCTGGGTAGCACCTCACTAAAGTCAATGGAAGCCCTTGAGGAGTGAACCTATATTTATGGAGTTAAGATATCAGAATCTGGCCCTTAACACTCTGTTCTAGTTTTTCCATCTGTTAGATGGAGATATTAATCATACAAGGGTGTGATGAGGCTAAGCTCACTGCTTGTAAATTGCTTTGAGATCCTCAGCTGAAAGGGGCTATAGAAGTACCCAGTATTACATGGAGTGCTAGTGTAAATTTATTGGTAATTGTCTTAGATCAGTGGTTCCCAAACTTTAACAACTCGTGAACCCTTTTCACAAAAATATCAAATCTTGCGAATTCCTTCCTAAAAATGAATATTTCCAGGGATTTTCTCCCTTACCTGAGTTCTAAATTATAGAAGCAGTGATCTTGAAATAAACAAATGATTTATGACACGCTTATTACACACTATTTATTATTTCATTATTATTAATTTTATTACATTATGAAAACGGCAACACTCTTCCAAGATTTCACTCTTGTAGCTCATATCCCTTCGATTAAGCCTTCTACATGTTTCATCATGAAACAGCATGAAGGTATTTAAGAAGTTCCTCCTACAAGCATTCGGACCTTGAGCAGTCTAGGCAAACAATGCACGACTACAACAAAGCTTAAACTTCTGCTATGTAGTCGTGGTCATGGGGTTGGAGCTGCCGGCCCCTGCGCCCCACAGGGCCTGGGGTCCCTCTGTCTGCCATTACAGAATTTTTTTCTGAGAACCCCCTGATACATTTCGTGAACCACCAAGGGTTCACGAACCCCAGTTTGGGAACCACTGTCTTAGATTATAATGTAGGGGTTTGGTTGCAATATACATTGCTTTGTCTTTTTAACTTCATAGATAATATATATTATTTGGCAGAAGTTTGCTGTCTTTTTTTTGGCCATGTGTCTGAACAATTCTCCTTCCTTCACCCCTCCTGAAAATTGATTACGTTGTTTAATTTAGAGACTAATGGAAATTTAAGAGCATGAGCAACTGACCAGCCCCCCACTTATTAGAAACTAAGCGCTTAAACCTTTCAGATAACATACTCTTGCACATGGAGTTTGTGACATGTCTGTGTCAGTACTCAGGGCTGGTTGCGCCTTTTAGTTTTCAATGTGAAATTTAGCAGGAGGAGGGTCATTGCAATTCATTCCCTTTCCAAAGTGTGAATGAATTGATCAGTGACTTGATGTATTGAATGAGTCTTTAGAAGTCTCTGAATCAGTTCAGGTTCCTTGTTCCTGACTCTCACTGTCCTCTACCTTGTGTAGTCCGGTAGACCTGTGCAAAGTGATGCTACCAGCACAGAGTGATCATGTTTTACATCTGCTTGATGCAGATGAAAGACTATCCAAGGTGAAAGGCAGTGGAGAATCAAGCCACTTCAATGCAGCATTAAATATTGCCATCACTGCTTGGCCTACAAGTCTGCTGTGGTTCCTTTGCTCTTGCTTAGCTCAGCTCATTTGGCATGTGCTGGAAGCAACTCTGTGGAGCTTCATATTAAAATTCTGCTGCCAACTGGAAGAGGAGGAGTGGGAGGGTTTATCAGCCTCTGAAGCAGTCCCTTGAAATAGTACTTGACTTACCACTGAAAGGTCTTAAAATCATGTCCCACTGAAGAGCAACATCTTATCTTTTTGGAGTAGATCAAATTGCACCAAATGAGGCAAGCAGTCCAAAAATGCGCCCCAGAAATGAAGACCCAGGATTGCCCAATCCCCTCCCATTCCTGATCTCTGCAGCACATGTGCCCTGACAGGCGTGGCCTACTAGGTGAAGGTGGACTCTTTTTTAGCAAGGGTGGGGTGGACGGGACCTTGCATTGTCAATATAATATCACTGCAGGTCGTGCTTCGAAACATCCCAGAGACCTAGTGTACTGAAGAGTTTAATAAGCAGGATATTTTAACAGAAAACTGTTGTCCTTTTCATGGAGGTTGAAGTTCACACCTTGTAATCTTCTTGATATACAGAATGCATCCCAGAGGAGTTTTGGGATCGATTATGACAAGAACTACTTCCTCAAGGATGGGAAACCATTCCGCTACATCTCGGGCAGCATTCATTACTCCCGTGTGCCCCGGTACTATTGGAAAGACCGTCTGTTGAAGATGAAGATGGCAGGGCTTGATGCTATTCAAACGTAAGTAACTATTGACTTTTGGGAGCAGTCTTAAACCAGAACAACGAGGGAGAGGTAGGCAAGCTAAGTGTACAAGGCAACCTCTTTTTGATTATAGCTGACGACACCCTAGAGAATCCAGGAGCGCTGCAAATATGTAGCTGAGCTGACAAATGCTCCACTTCAAACTGAAACAAGTTATATAGCGCTCTACTTGCTATGCCTAATCTAATCTACAAAGCTTTTTATGATTTGGATCCTGTATCTTAAACTGCTTCTCTCCTTGTATTACAACTTGGCAGTTGAGATAAATTATGACACACTAGCCCACGTATATGTTCATGAGCAGGTGGGGAGTGCCTGCGTGTTTGGAACTTACTCCCTCCCATCTGACACCATACAGCTTGTCTGTTTTCTAAAGAGCCCTGTGAGGGGGATGGATGAGTGAGTGTGGGTGAGTGGATG